ATCCTTAGTGTCACCAGAGCTTGTAATCTCATTCAACAAACCAACATTAGTATCTATAACATCATGAACCTTACCATCATTGTTCACACTCTCACCTACATTCATACCCTCAACACCATTATTGTTCACACCCTCAACTACATTCATACCCTCAACACCATTATTGTTCACACCCTCACCTACATTCATACCCTCAACACCATCATTATTCACACCCTCACCTACATTCATACCCTCAACACCATTATTGTTCACACTCTCACCTACATTCATACCCTCAACACCATTATTGTTCACACCCTCACCATCAGTACCTACATTCGTATCCTTTATGACTTCTTCATAAAGATATCCAAGGATGGATTCTACCTCCAGATAAACCATATTTAATGGTTCTTTATCTATGGCTTCTTCCTCCATCATGTTTATAGGATTTTCAACATATTCTGGTTGAGATAATGGATGTTCTATGTAAATGTTAAATTTCAAATGTACCCTACAGAGGTCAGCTGCCTCTAACGCACCCTTATCATCCTTAAGAACATTCATTCCAAATGTGAGGTCATTGTAATATATAGTGTCTACCTCAATGTAACCTAGATCTTTCACAACACCAACCAATTCAAAGTATGACCACCTATCCACATCTATCTCTAAATGATTACATTTACCCCCACATAATCGATTTTTTCAGAGTCTACAAACTCACCACTATGATGAATTTTCAAACACAAAATTTCTTCCATTTCTACCTAAAACAATGAAATGCAACATTACATACAAGAAAATGTAACATAATAACAGATTTTGAAAGTGGAAAAAACCCTAGATACCTAATTAGATCAAGAAAATGTAACATTTACACACATTTAGAGTAAACAAGGACGTGTAAACTAACTGTCGTCTATGTTGCGTCTTCGTCTTCCTTAGCTTGCTTATTCTCTCTTCGTGCTCTTCGTCTTCTTCAACTTGCTTCTTCTCTCTTTGTGCTCTCTTAGGGCTTTCTATTTCAACACATGTTTTAATCAATGAAAATGCTAATATTATGCTACTTCAGATGACACCTCAGTAAGGCCAATGCCCATCATGGCACATAACCAAACCATTCATTACACCTCAGCAATAACTTAACACGTCAACCAAATTTTTTATAATAATCTAATATTTCTAACAGACAGGACTGACATGGTACCATTTTAAAAACGTAAGGGACCAACTTGTAACTTTTAAAAGGAAGAGGACTAAAATGAACCCTGAGTCATAGGTAGAGGATCAAAATGTTCCTTACCTTAGATGTGTGAGAGCATTTTCAACACCATATTTTGGTTGTATTCAAAGTTGGGGAGAAAGAGGTAGATTAATGCATTGTGAAAAATAAAGTGGTTGTAATAATGAAAGAGCTTGAAAAAGAAATAATGAAAAGAGAATAATGAAAAAGAAAGAAAATTGGGCATAAATTGCCAACAAATGAGCTCAAGGTTGTAATGATGCCTCAAAGAAAAGAAAAAAAGAGGGTTAAGGTCTTAAATTGTGTATGAATGTGAGAATTGAATGCTCTCATAGGATTAGGCATTTTTGTTTCAATGAATTTCATAAATGACCCTTCCTTGTAGCCCAATCCAAATTACAACCTTTGAACTCCTTGTGATTCCTTCTTTTACACTCATTAATGCATATTGTTTGTTGAATGCATAATTCGATCTGGATGTTTGCAAGATTGTTTGGTGAGTGATAAAACCTCATAATATTTTCATCCCTTGATGAATGTGTCCTTAGGTGTGATTCATGTTGGAATTGTATTGCTTTAGAATTTTTTATTTGTGTTTTGCACTTAGCAATAGTTTCTTCTCCATGATTTGTTTTGAGTGTGGTAAGTTTATCTTGTTTGTACTTCTACTTTTTGAACCATGAAATTATTGTTGTTCTAACTTGTTGATTCTGATTTCTTCTGCATTGCTTTGGGTTCGTTTTTGTTTGACAAAATTTTGTTTAAGGACAAACAAAATAATAAGTTGGGGAAAGTTGTTAAGTGCCAAATTGTGCATATTTTTTATGGTACTTTGTGGCCCTTTCCAATTGTTTCTTTGGTGTTTTAGTAGTAAATCTATATGTTTTAGTGTAAATACAAAAGTTTTTGATTATGCATGTAAATATTAAGAATTGTGATCATTTTGATGCTTTTTGATAGGTTTTCTTGCTGGATATAATGCTTAGAATACGTGGGTGATGGAAGAGGGCTTTGAAGATCAATTTCACGACATTTTGATGGCAACTCGTACTTAGCGCGATTTCAGCTCACTTTTGAGATACAGTCAGTAGCTAAGGATCCATGACAGCGTTTAGCGCACTTTATGCAAATTTTTTGCCTTTGAACTGATCGCACTAAGTGCGCTCTGATGGTGCTTAGCGCGGTGCCACTTATAGGAATATTTTTGAACTTTTATAAATTGACACTTGGGATATATTTTGGGGGACACTTCATTTTTTTTCCACATTTTCAGATTGAAAAGATATTTTTAGAGTTTGAAGCTTAGAAATTTTAAGAGAAGTGAAAATCAAAATTTTGGAGCTTCAATCTTTGATCTTTTGACTTTGATGCTGGTAAAGTTTTCCTTTCTACTAGTTGATCAAGCTATCATGTGATGGCTAGCTAAACACCTTTTGTGTCAAAATTAGAGGTAGTTAACCTTATTAGTATGTATTTCTTTTGATCTTTTGTATGTGAATAAAGTTGATGATCAATATATGATGAAGATCTTTCCTTTTAATGATATATGTATGTTTTAAATCACTCTACACATAGATTTTTCAAGTATTGATCTAAGTTCTTAATCTATTAATAAACAAACTCTAGACATAGGTTTGAGAGTTAATATTTGCTTTTTATCGATCTTTATGTTTATTGTTTCGATTGTTGTTTAGAGAAATCATCTAGCTATTGAAACAATAATATCTACGAAGCTGCTTTGGAAATAAATGGAATCGAGAGGATACACGATAGTATTGATCTAAATCAAGTTTAGATGCTTAATTAATCGAATATGTATGAAATTGGTTAACGAAATCTAATCTTGACATGCTTTTCTTAAAACAAAAATATTTCTATAATTTACTCTTTACTACCAAAACAAGTGAAAGCATATGTTACCAAACCAAAACTCTTTGAAAACCCTTTTTTTGAAACTCATAAACTATTGAACGACAAACATCCATTATCAGTACAATCTCTGCGAATACAATAAAACACCCTACCTAAAATACTTTACAACAATTACTAAAGAGCGTAGTTCTCTTGCGATATGTTTGTAATAGATTTGAAGATTTCAATCTAAACTTGAAAATAATTTAATTTAAGTTTATTGGTTTGAGCCTCTGTAAAATATCTAAATCATTTGCTTAATCTAGTTTGGATTGGTCCTATGCAAAAGCTTAAGGTTGTTTGTGCGTAAGGTTGTTGGGTTAATCTTGTGCAAAATCTCAAGTTGTTTCTGAAAGGTTCTTGGGATGAATCTGAACAAAAGCTTAAGTTTGGTCTAGTGAAAATATCATGTTGTTTTTGAAAGGTTCTTGGGATGAATCTGTACAAAAGTTTAAGTTTGGTCTAGTGAAAATCTCAAGAGTAAACTCTTGAGAACTGGAGTAGGCCACACAGTTTAACCGATTCAAGATAATCTCTAGTGTGATTTTTCGATCCATATCTCTTTTGTTTTTGTCATTAATTTTATTTCGCTTCTTATTCCACTACTTTATCTTTGGTTATTTTTCTCTTCTAACTTAAACTATTTTTAAGTCAAAGCATTTTTATAAATCTGCATTTGAAATCCGAATATTAAAATTCACCCTTATTGTATTTAGAGTCGCTTGTTCAACACAAGGATTGGTGTGACAACGTCAATCACATGGATGAATTTGTAATGAGCGGATGACCGAGTTGTTTTGGAAGCTATCATTGTCAGCAATTCTGAAAATTGACGGTGATCAGAATAGTTAACGAAAATGGTTTTAATAAAGGAAAGTTAAGAAGTTGGAAGTGGAATTTCGTAAAAGTCAAGAAACAATTTTCACATACCACACTTTCTGATGTGAAATAAGATATTGGTGATAGATCGATGAAGTTCATAGCAAAAGGTCTCTAATACGATGATGTAAGTCTCTGGTGGACAAAAAAAGAGTGTACCTAAAAAAATTAACACTCTTATATTCAAATCAATAAAATTATAGTGTGACAAAATTTACAAGCGTGCGTAAAATATATTATACATTGGTAAAACCACTTGTAAACGAATGGCCATTAGATTGGTCCCCGGTGAATGTGGCGTCTGGTACAATATACTGTTGGATGGATTCCAACAATTGTGATGAGTGCGATGCTTGTCTTCTCTGCAAGACTCCTTAGTGAGAGTATGCATATTGGTTGCTGTTTTGAATTGAAACTTCGTATTGAACAAGTTTAATTGGACTCTTAATTCGGCAAGTTTCATTTATAATATTACATTGGCTATCAATGGAGTTTTTGCACCTCGTCCTATTTCTGGTTAATCATTTAACTCGTCCCTTAAACACAATAAAGTGGATTTAGTGGGACGCAAAATAAAGGTTAATGACAATATGTTTCGACATAAGGTGAAGAGTATGAAATCCAAAAGAATAAAAATTAAAATAGGAGTGTTTTTTTTAATGAAAAACGGCACCCCAAAATCCATATACAACTATAGAGATCCTAATGGTAGTAAACGATCCACTGCCACCCAAAATCTATATAGTTTACACAAAATATGATCCAAAAGTAATGAGAATAAATTGATAAACAAACCACATTGAACACAACCAGCATCCATGGAAACCGAAAACATCAGCATAATGCAGCAGAAAAAAGTACCACACAAAAGCTTGCTTCTCCCTAATCTAATACCAATGCAATATTCTGTTGCATGAAAAAAAAAACTAACAGTTGAAATACATATGTTATATTGATTATTTAATAAATCTGAAAAGTAAATTCAAATATCCATAGCTAAATTTATGGAGCACAGATTCTTAAGTTTAGGAAGAGAATATGGTCCACTAATGATACCATGAGCAATCAATCTATATGCAGCCTCAGTCAAATGAACACCATCCCACGAAATATACTGAGAAGGATCATCACATGCAACCACACCTGATTTTCCACAAAGTTCTGATCCATTGAAATTATACGAACCTCCCATCCCACAGCAAGCTTTAAGACCTAGAAAACCTGCATTGATATACTTTAGTAGCGTATATCAAGAACAAAGAGAGTAATTTATATTAGGAATTGAGAAAGTTGATATACCAAATTTTGATGGATATTGATATAATGGCAATAAAGCATTATAATAATCAACATAGATGATATTTGCATGAGGATAAACTCCACGAAGCCTTTGTATTTCATTTTGAAGATTCTGGTTGTAAAATGCAGCAAATTCGTTTAGCTTCTTCAAGCAACCGAATGAGTCATATTGGTTCTTATCTGTGGTTTCATACTTTGTTAAAAAGCATGCATTGCATCCCATTGGGAAATTCCCAGGGACCATGAGTGTGTGTGCCCCTAGATCAATCAACTCCTGTGAAGACACAAGAAAATTGAAATTCAACTTACAATTAGTTAGTGATGTGTATATAATAGGATTTGTAAAAGAAAATAATCTTACATTGATTGCTGAAGTTATTGCATTGATTACATCTGGTACATAGGTTTTTATCTCTTCTATGCTTTTTCGGCTATTTAACATATAAATGAAATCGTTGCCTCCAATTTCTCCTACCAGAAATAATGACTTTCCAAGAACTTTATGGCAACCTACAAGATTAGACGTCAATTAAGTAATTTCATTAATTCCATTTACGTCATTGTGCTGGTTCATAGTGTATCAATGATTAGTGTATTGATTTTGAGCGCATGCACAATTTTTTTCCATATAAAAGATAGGGTAATATGTTTAGGGTCCTCTAAATATAATAAAAGAAATTTCTTTTAAATATTTTCTTCGAATAGTGGTATTATCTTCTAAAAGTGGTGCTTTTAAATTTTAAAATATTATATCCTTAATTTTAGTTATTTTCCATTAATAGAAACTGACGTGGCGTAACACGTTAATAAATTAAACGTGACGGGGCATTTTCATGTGACAAATCTTCATCAAAAACTCAATTTTCATTCAAACTTTCATCACTTTCGACCTAAATCTCATTGAAATCTATAAAACTCATTAAAAAATTGAAACAACATTGAAAAGATTGTTTTTCTCCTCGGAGTGGCTTTCATAAAGTTGCAATGTTATTTCCTGGCATATTCCACAATGGTTCGCACATATCAATCTTTAAAGAAAGTTCTTATTAGATTAGATTTGGTCGGGCGAATGTCTAAGTGGTCCAATGAGATATCAGTGTTTGACATATTTTGAACTTATGAAAGTCCTAAAAGTCCAATTTTTTGCATATTTCATCGTTGTTGACACCATTCAGCTAAGAATTGTGCACAAAGTGGTCCGTCTTCACTGAGGTTCATCAAATAGTAGAGAAAACTGAGTCGACCTCAATCTGAGAGAAACTAAGGCTCGCACTTGAAGTATCCATGCACTTTGATTTTTTCACAACAATTAGGCATAATATTAAGCTTTCATCGTCGGGCTCATGTTGGCCTCAATATTAGGAGTAGAAGAAGTTAGACAATTTAAAATTCTCAACATGTGGTCAACTAAGTCAAAGGGTAGGTACAAGCTAACAATCCACTTCTACAAAAATACACAGTCATGGTCAAGGACATACTGAGTTCATTTAAATCTTATGAGATTATGCATATGCCAAAGGAGCAAAACACGAGCACAAATGTCCTATCAAAGTTGTCAAGAAAAAGAGTGAAAGACATTAATCATTATTTTATCCAAAACACGCTTGAGAAACCTAGTATCTCCACAATAGTCATTGTTACAATTGTGACAACAGGAATAAAAGAGCCACGATGGATCACCTTAATCACTGTATATATTGAGAACGAGACTTTACGGCAGACTCTGTTTAAGCCAATCTAGTGAAGCGAAAAGCATGCTAGCTCCTACTTGATCATAAGGTGAAGTTATACTAGAGAGGTCTTTCCACCCCTTTTTGAAATAATTATAGTATGATGAAGTCGAATACACTATCGTCGAAGACCACAAGGGTATATAATTAAAGCACCTCAAAAGAAGAGACTTGGCAAAAAAAAGTCCTCAAAGCAAGATCTTAACAATCTTCTATGATCCAGGATGTCATGTGTTCGCAAGTGTTTTTAGCAAACAATCACGAGTTTAAATAGTTTGTGAGATTAACTCAAAAAACTTCGGAAGTAATTTGTGCAAAACGTATGTACAAGAAAGAATGTGTGTGAAGTGACTATAAATGTTTGCATGCATACAAAATGAAGATGAACTTTAACAATGCAAAAATCGAATTAAAATAAAAGAAAACAACAATAAATGACATTAAACGAAATACGGTAAATGACAAGAATATTAAAGTGTATCAATTAAGGAAGCATAAAGACAATAAATAAAAGAGACTCAAACTCATATGTTACTCACAAACTATTTCGCTTTATGATTCTGATACTCCAATTTTATAGAGAAAGTATATGCATTTTGCGACCTTGATTACAACGTATGAATCTTATATTTATACTAAACTAACAATAACCGTCTCTGACAGCTTATTCCTAGAAAATAGACATGTAGTAAGAACATGAAACTCAGCCCTCTGAAGCACTACTATGTTGTCAGAACTTTCAACTACTAAAAATCATTATCACATGTTCGTAAATGCTCTTAGCGACTAATAACTACCTTCTCGTTGAAGGTAGTTTTTGAAAGTGATAAGACCCCTCTTAAGTCTTTAGTTTCCAAAAATATTCTAAGTCTTTGAAGTATGTCGAACGCTTTGACTTTGATATGGTGTCGAGTGATCAATTAGATTTGTTCCCGAGACTCCTCCAAACCATGTTTCAAGACACTATTTGAAACGTTCATGTCCACTTATGTAAATCAATGCTAACACTTTAGCATTTTCCCAATGCAACATTCAATTAACTTTCCCAAATATAAATTCTAGGCAACCACCATGATGAAGTGTGAAAGACACCAAAAGCACATAGATATTCACATCATCCCTTCTTTCAAGCTTAACACCTTAACTGCGCCATGATTGTTCTCCTAATGGGTTATGGATATCAGCTCTAAAGCAATTAAAGTTTATGATAATGGTTGTAGATTACTTCATCAGAAGGATTGAAGTTAAGGCCTTAACAAAACTTATCCCAAGAATGTGGAATGCATCCAAATTGAAATGTTATTACATTTGAGTTGCTTCCGTACTTTAATTTAAATTTTATATGTAAAGTATCTACAATGTAAAATTTTACAACACAAGTTTAACAAACGAGATTTTCACCATAAACTTTGCATTTTCATTTTGTGAATGACATGGTTAAGCTTCATGTACGGTGTTAATCCTTAAAAGCAAATGAAGTGTTATAGCAAAAGGAAAAATCCAAAGATAACCTAAACGTAGAACATGCATGTGGTGCACAATTAAAGATGTCAAAACGTGAACATGAAGGTAACACACTAAAAAAGAAACCCAAAACCTAGAACGTGCAAGTGGTACACTAGGGTCACTCCCCCTTGGTATCTAGTCATTCCATAGCGAATATAATCACGTCTCTCATATACATGATTTAAATCAAGTTTTCACTTAGGGGAAGGGAAGGGGGAATACCATTGGTCGAGCACGTTCTTGAAAGAAGTTTAATCATTACCAGATACAACTCCCCAAAGCAGCCACAAAGAATCGGGGATTATAACCCCCAAAACAGGGCCGACAAAGAGCATGTTTGATACACCACACTCTCAATTCATTAAGGTAAAAAATCTTAACATATTTTATAGGTAATAAGCAAAACTCTATCTAAAGGAACAAAGCAAGTATGCAAAGAAAGCTAAAACCAAAGTCTATTCAAGTACAAAAAGGAAGAGTGGCGATTAAAAATGCTACATTTTGTTCGCATGTGGCCAACATGACTATTTCAAAATAGAAAAGAAAAAAAGAAAAGAAATTGAAAAGGTCGTTTCCCTACCAAGAGGAGCAAGTTTCTAGTCTGCATCATTTTGCTAAACATGAATCTACTCTGTAAAAATCTTAATACTAAGGTGGAGAAGCTCCATTTGCTCTAGAGAATTCTCAAATGAAACATGCAGACATTTGTATCTGGTATCCACATCAGTCAAATACTTGTTCTCTATAGACACTTTTTCAGCCTTCATTTATTTCAAAAAAATCTCGGGTCTTATCTAGAGCTTCCTAAGAAGTGCTCAAGCCATCCTCCTTCTCTTTTAAAGCCTTCTTCAATGATGCAAAGGCAATTTCCATGTACTCCACTTCTTTGTGGGCAGTGTTATCCGGCCAAGATAGTGTGTATATCAATCAAAGATTTATAGACCTTGCTCTAGGTCACCTCCTTTAATCCAATCACCTTTTCAAGCTCCTTCACTCTTTTTTATAGAGCAGCAGAAGAGCTAAATTTCTTTACCTCCTTAAAAACTGTCTACAGAAGCTTTTTTTTATCGCCAAGTTCATTAGGGAGGTTTCTCATCTCAGAGTTTGCGGAATCAAGATGCTTTCTCAAGGTATTTATTTCTTCGTAGAGCAATTTTATAGCCAAGAAATCGCTTATTTGAATAGACCCTAAGGACATCAAGGTGGCAGACACCCTTATGCATGTAAAAATCAATCTTTTCCATAATCTCTTGACAACTATTCTCGGTCAGGTTGGTAAAATAATGATACTTTGAAGATCTTTGTAGTCCTAGACCTGGTGTTGACAAATAAAGGTTGGATATTGAAGGAAGGTTGAGAATGATCACTCCCTCAAAGGTAAAATTTATTAGAATTAGGCTCCTCTTCTTTTGGCCCCTTAGGGAGTGGTTCGTCTTTAGCAAGAACTTTGGTTGACCTCTTTTTTAAGAGAGATAATTATTTTTATTATTTAAAATAATTATGTTAACAACTTATTTTAAGAATTGGTCCTGGTATGAGCTATTTGTTTAGAATTCAACTCTTGAAAATAAAGATGATAATGGATAGGGTTTTACCTAAGTATTATAATACTCATCTTCAATGTTACCACTTGTATCTCTATCCTATGGATATGTAAGTATTCATACATGTACTCGTTACCTAAATTTCTAATGAAAATAGATGGATCAACTATAAATTTATTGTTGGTTCACGAAATAAACAAACAGTTATATTTAATACATAATGATTTTATATTAATGTTTTTCAAAAACATATATATATATATATATATATATATATATATATATATATATATATATATATATATATATATATATATATATATATATATATATATATATATATATATATATATATATATATATATATATATATATATATATATATATATATAATATGCGGGTATGAAATGAAGTGTGTATTAAGGTGTTAATACTCACATTCATATTCCGTTACTTTAGTGGGTAATTATCCAAGTCAATTATGTACCTATTTTGCGAGATTTTACATACTTATAATTATTATTTTGTGTGAATATGCACTGAGAATATGTCAAATTTTTATCCCTACCTACAAATGGGATTTTGTCGGACCAACTTACAAGTGTTTACCTAGCTACACATGCTCAGACAAGGTTAGACATTTTTTAAATAGAAAATATCTATGTTTTTTTATAAGTATGTTTAGTTAAAAGGCTAACTCTCGTGCCATCAAAAAAATCATTTAAATCTATTAGACCGGTTTATTTAAATAAAGATTGTTGGGGAGATTTCACTTGGGAGCATTGAACACTAGGTCACTCATGATACCATTTGTTGGCGCAACAATCGGGGGTTAAGCCCGGAGCATTTTAAATGGTGGGACATCCTTCTTCGAACAACACACTTTTATGAGAGACACACCACATATTCACCCAAAATATTGAAGTGATAGGTGTATGAGTTCTCCCACTTATAAATGTTAACTGTCCACATTTATAACTAATGTAGGACTCCAACTCACAATTGACATGTTATTCTCAACAAAGATGAATAACTTTTTTAGTATTATTATATTATATGTTGTATTTTGAATTCAAATACAAAAATTAAACTTAATTATTTTGAAGCACTAATAAAAATATACTGTAAACACCTTATCAACAATGTCATAAATTATTTTTATACATTTTTCTAAATAAGTAGTCTCACAAAATTTATGTTACTAACTAAATTCAGATAAATCAATTCAAATAAATTTTTAGTATCATTGATTTTTATATTATTTAATTGATATAAAGATTAATTGAATTACTTATATTACATGTTTTGAAATAAAATAGAATTTTAATTAGACTAATATATTAAATCTGACCTTTGAAAATGTAAAATTCAAACTTGAAACAAGGCTATGGAAAACAACAAATCAATATTAAGCTTTGATATCTTGACATAATATGCTTAAATTTGACAAAACCTAACTCAACACTACTTATTTTCATCTATCAAATGTATCTGGAAGCAACATTTTTTTTAATGTATTTTCATAATATAAACAAGTTCTTTATACTTGTAAATCAAGAATTAAAAAAATAACATATTTTAAAATAGTATAAATTTTTTACACAAGATATTTATATCTAAGACCGAAAATTATATTATAGGAAAACATTATTAATATTTCAAAGCAATTCTTCTAATATTAAGTAAGGTAGTAATTCAAGCTCAATAATAGACGGTCCATTTTCTTTTGACAAAAAATAATAATTGATGGCCCCATTTCATTGATAATTAGATGAGGAAGAGTAACTGAGAACTTACTTTCTGAAGAATTGCAGAGAGCAGAAAGAAGTTCCTTGAACCAATTCATCTGAACAGTTAATGAATAATTGGTAGCAACGTTATGAATATCCCTCTCTTCAAAGAAACTAATGTCTAAAGCCGTTGCTCCTATAACAGCAAAATTCACCCCATCCTTTCCTGCACTATCTTCCAATACACCCTTCTTTATTCCTAAATACGGTTTCACCATCGGAATCCCCAATGACTCGGCTGCAATTTCAAACAAACGTCAACCACGTAAGCAAGGAAATTTAATTTTGACTGCGTGAATGTATTAAGACGGTGACCGTAACAAGTTCAAATTTGAATATGTTGCGGTCACTACAGTCACGCAGTTAAGATTCTATCAAAAAAATGCAGAATTGTCCGATGCGAATCAGATCGCTACTGTTGTATGATCGAGTGTTTTTTTTACTGAACAAATCTTAAATCGCAAGCATACCTATGAAATCAATGATGAGGCGTCCATTGGAGCAACGACCAGATGTATGATGAAAGTAGGTTTGGCCGTTGGGAGGAGATAAGCAGTGATCAGAGGGGTCTTGGTTGCTGAAAAATAGGTTGCCGGTGTCGGCCATGGAGTCGCCGAAGCTGAAGATTGAAGAGTAAGAGGAGCATTCAGCCATGATTAACGGTGGGGAAGCAACCATCACTATAAATAGTATAACTATACTCCATCGCTTTACATAATAAACCGCCATCACAAATAACGTCTCACTCTCCCTTGCAATTATAAATTCGTATTAGTCTACTCTTTCAATTATAAATTATTGCATAGCTTGTGTGATTGAACTCCTATCTTGATATTTTTGATTAACTGTCCCCACAAAAGTTGTTATATGGTAAGTATTCTATTTGTCATAAATGATGGGCCCATTAAAATAAAGAAAATAAAACAGGGCCCTTTTATATACTAGTGGACGAAAAATATTATTATAATATTTAAATAAAATCAACTATTTATTTATTAAAATAAACTAGACTTCATATCTCTTTTAGTCCCTTAACTTGGTCATTGTTTCACTTTAGTCTCTTAAGAAAAAAATGTTACATTATGGTCCACTAACTTATACTTTGTTACGTATATTAGTCCTTTCTGATAGTTTTGGTTGGAAAAACGTTAGAAATTGCACTGATGAACTTTAAATGGCTTAGGTGAATATTCTAAAATTATTTTAATGGATTAGGTGGATTTTGTATTACACTTAACATTCATTTTAAGGAGATGAAATGTATTAGGACATGCTTACATTGTTGGATGAAAGCTCGAGTTCAGAGAGCAACTACATTGTGAACAACAACACTTGTTTGAAGACGAAGTTCATTGAAGACGACGATAGCGATGTTTACGACAACAACCCTCCATTGAAGAAGAACAAAAAAGAAGACTTCATTATTTCATTCATCTGCAAAAAAAAAAAATCTAAGGTACAAACTTGCACAAATACGATTCAAAAAATGTTAAATTTCTTCTATATCTAACTTACTTAGTACTTTTGATACTATATGTAGGTTGATTAGGTCATGAAGAGTGGGTTTAAGTGTGTTGTTCATCATTCTGGTGAGTTTTCTAGAGAGTTTGCAAATTTTACCAAGTCAGGTTATGTAGGGTTAGAGAAGATATGAGATGTTGATCATGATTATTGAAGTTACTTTGAAATATTGGACAAGTTAAGAGAGTTAGGTTACCCTACTATAGATAGGCTTTGATATTATGATGACATGATTGATAATGATATAGTTCAGTTAGAAAATGATAAGGGGACTGATAGGATGAGAACAATTACAGTGTTAATTGGGGAATGTCACTTGTATGTTACACATCCTGTATCTGAACCGGATGTTATTGAAGAGTCCATACTGTCACTACTAGATGTGAGCATATTGGGTGAAGATATGTGTGGTGAAGGGTCTGGTATGGTTAATAATCAAGATGGGACAACGATTTTTGAAGATGTGATTGGTGAAGTATATGAAAGGGGAAGTAATGAAGGTGGGACCACACTGGATGAAGATGTGGTGGAAGAGCGGACAAGAGTTGATGAAGTTAAGGAGAATGTTGGGATTAAAGAGAATGTTGGAATTGAGGAAAATGTGGGTCATGTGGAGACCAACTGTGAAACTGAGGAGAATGTGGGTCAAGAGGAAATAAATTGTAACAATATGGATGATGTGGGGACCACTTGTGAAATGGAGAAGAATGTGGATGTAGGGATGAATGTTTGAGCAGATGAAATAAATGAAGAAATGAACTGTAACCAAGAACAAGATGAGGTAGTTAACTGTAACCAAGAAGATGGAAGTGATGACAGTGCTTTGAATGTTAATTTTTAAGACTTGGAGAATGATATAGGTATTGATGGAGGGATAGAAATTGATGAGGATGAAGTGAATGCAACAAGTAAGGAGAAGGGAAAAGGAAATGGAAAGGAAATAGGAAAGGTAAGGGGAAAGGGAAGGGGAAAAGGAAAGGGAAAGGGAAAGGGAAAGGGAAAGGGATAGGGAAAGGAAAGGAAAAGGTCATTGTTAGGGATGTAGGTGCTGATAGTGATGGTGAGGTAAATATGGACAATTTGAGAGGTTTAAGTGACATTGAGGAGTATGACAATGATAAAATGCCTATTGAGTATGACAGTGAGAATGATGAGGTTGTAAAGGATAATTTTGTAACCTTTAAGCTTCCAAAAAGAATGGAAGACTACAAATGAGAACTTGGTATATATTTTTCTACAAAGGGGGTGTTTCAAGAGGCAATAAGAACATATTCCATTCAGGAAGTAAGGAACTTGAAATTTACAAAAAAAATGATAAGGCAAGAATGAGAGTTAAATGTAAGGCAGACTGTCAATGGGAGACTTACTGTGCAAATATAAAAGGTGAGGAGAATTGGCAATTGAGGACAATTGTGGACAAGCATACAAGTAGGAATTATAAGATTAGGTTCCTCAATTCAAAATGGTTGGGCAAGAATATTCAAACAAGTGTTAGAGAGAACCCAACTTTGAAGTTGACTGATATTATGGAGAAGACACATGAAAAGTGAAATGTTGGGATTAACAAGACATTGGCATATAGAGCTAAAACACTGGTTGTTGATGTTGTGGGTAGTTCTTTTTTAGAGCAGTATAGAAGAATCCATGATTTGTTAGAACATAGATTCGTGTTTAATATATCTCATGGTTTTGATGATAAAATTAATGAAATTTTGTATAGAGAATTTATATACTCTAATTTTGTTCAAGTGTTTATTTGTTTCAGATATCAAAATTAATATTATTCTGGAAGCAAGAATGCCTCTGAACACTAAAGAACGAGAAAACTCTGAGCATCAGAATCAACACATCCGAAGACTCTGATCTGCTACAATGACTCCGAGCGAAGCTAAGAAGAACTTGAGTAAAGAACATACGTAAAGCGTCAGAAGATTCTCGAAGTACTCAACGCTGCAAGTACAGAAGCTTTGATAAGCAAGTATGCTCTGATAAAGAATTTCACGCTTAAAGCACTTGGCTGCAAACTCTGATAGAGAAACTCTGAGTGAGTTAACTCTGATCTGAAGAACTAGGAACATCATCAGAAGTTCTGATGCAAGGCGTTCCAAAGTTGTTAAAGAAGATGTTGTTCAAATAAAGATCCGTTGGCATATTCCTTGTCCTCATCTAAACGGCTCTTTCCTCATTTGTGCTTGACACGGGATTTCAGACAAAAAGGATTTGTCTGAACATTCCCCTTCTGAGAAAGGAAAAGTCAATAGAAGACAAAAAGAACAGAATGCACAGATTGCACAGTCTTTGAGAAATGGATTTCAAAGTACTATAAAAGCAAGTCTAAGCATCACTTCAACGTTGACGAAACTATTGGAAAATTATTCAAAGAACTCATTCAAATTTTCTTCAAGCTAGAATAGTTTTCACATTCGTTCTTTAACTTGTGTACAAATCACTGTTGTGATATAGCTTTTTAGAAGCATATCTTAAACACATTTGTTAGTTTATCTTTGTAAAAGATTTTCTTAAGAAGACCAAGTTGTGGTCATAATTCTTGAGAAGACTAAGACAGTTGTCTTAGTGGTTTACACTGTTATCAAGTTTGATTTAGTGGATTAAGTCCTTGTTGAGAAAGGCAAATCACCTTGGTAGGATGGACTGGATTAGTTTGAGTTCAAACGAACCAGGATAAAAATACTGTGTTATTTTTCTATCTTCTTAATCGTTTTAAAAACCCTTATTCAACCCCCCCCTTCTAAGTGTTTTTCCTACCTTTAGTTGGCATCAGATATGTTTGAGTCTCTAAAAATGACGCTTGAAGGAAACTCCCAAGTGAAGGAGACAAAGGCTCTGACCCTCATCCAGAAGTACGAAGCCTTTAAAATGGAGGAGTCTGAATCTGTGGAAACTATGTTCTCAAGATTTCAGATCCTAACTACTGGGTTGAAGGTTCTGGATAAAGGTTACTCCACTTCTGACCATGTCAAGAAGATCATCAAAAGCTTGCCAACAAGGTGGAGACCAATGGTGACAGTGCCGAAGCTTGCAAAGGATCTGAATAAGATCACTCTGGAGGAACTGACCAGTTCCTTAAGGAGTCACGAGATTGAGCTGGAGGAAGACGAGCCTCAGAAGAAAGGTAAGTCTGTTGCTTTAAAATCTAACAAATCTGCTAAAGCTTTGCAGGTTATTGAAGAAAGTTTTGAAGAATCTTCAGAAGAAGAAGATGAATTGTCTTTGTTGTCCAAGAGGATAAACCAACTCTGGAAGCACAAACTAAAGAAGTTTAGAAACTTCAAGAGATCTAATCAGCATGGCGAATCTTCTGGACATAAAAAATCTGGAAAGAAAGATGTAGTGTGCTATGAGTGCAAGGAGCCAGGCCACTATAAAAATGAATGTCCCAAACTTCTGAAGGAGAAACCCAGAAAGAAGTTTGAAAAGAAGAAGAAAGTTATAATGGCCACGTGGGATGATTCAGATGCTTTTGAATCTTCATCAGAATCAGAAGATGAATGTGTTAATGTAGCACCGATGGCTGACGTGGGGGACCACGAAGAAACTGCTGAATCTGGATCAGAATCAGATTCAGAAGAGGTATTTTCTAAACTTTCTAGAGCTGAACTTACTGAAAGTTTATCTGAAATTCTTGAAAGCTACAGCAAGATCAAACTCAAATACAAGAGGCTTCAAAGTTGTCTTGCATCTAAGAATGATCAGTTTAGATCAGAAGTTGCTGAGCTTAAAGCAAACAATCTTAAAATGAAAAATGATTTAGAAAAAGCTCAAAAATCTGACTCATATCCTATATCATACTCTAAAAACATTTTAGAAGAGTATGATTATAGCTTTCAGAAGTTTCTGTCCAGAGGCCTAGATAGAAGAAAAATGGCTTCCATGATCTATGGCGTAAGCAGAAACAACAGAAAGGGAATTGGATATGAATCACCTTCTGGGAAGGACTTAAATCCAAAACCTGTTGATAAACTGATCATTAAGTATTCTCCTCTGTATACTCACTTCAAATATGGCCATTTAAATGATATTAAGCACACACGTTCTGATCAGAACAAACCTGTGTTTAATAAACCAAAACCTCAGAAGAATAAAGATGCTTTTAAGGGAAATAAATTCATAAA